TGGGGATGTTTGACATGACTGTCCCGAGCAAGGACCATGTGTTTTAACGTGTCCATGCCACCCAGGGGTGTATCTAACATGGTTGCCCACAGCTGGTCCCACGTGTGTGTACGTGTCCAGGCCACCCAGGGATGTATCTAGCATGGTTCTCCCGAGCTTGAACCATGTGTGTTTTACGTGTCCAGGCCACCCAGGGTGTTATCTGACATGATGGTCCCGAGCTGGCACCACGTGTCTTTACGTGTCCAGGCCACCCATGGGGATATCTAACATGATTGTCCAGAGCAAGAACCACGTGTTTTAACGTGTCCAGGCCACCCAGGGGTGTATCTAACATGGTTGCCCACAGCTGGTCCCACGTGTGTTTACGTGTCCAGACCACCCATGGGAGGTATCTAGCATGACTGTCCCGACTTGGAACCGCGTGGTGTTACGTGTCCAGGCCGCCTATGGGGGTATGTCATCATGGCGGAACCAAGTGTTTTCACGTGTCCAGGCCGCCCAGGGTGGTATCTAACATGTGAATGTTTGTGGAGGATGTCTCGAGCGAACCACGTGTTTTCACGTGTCCAGTTCGCCCAGGCAGATGTCTAGCATGAGGTGGCACGTTCATTGGCACGTTCCGTAGCGCGTCCCCTTGGCGCGTCCCGCAGTGCATCCCCATGGCACGTTCTCTGGGACGTCGCCTGGCGCGTCCTTTGGGACGTTCCGCGGCGCGTCCTCCTGACATGTTCCCATGTCAATTAGTTCTGGGGCAGCTACTATGTGCTCAGGCAGCTCGAGCTTACGATCCAGATCAGTTCGGTCAGGACTCGGATGCAAAGGAGGACTCGATTCACAACCTTGTAGAGCACACTCGCGGCATGACACATCGCAATTCAGCACGGCGCAGCACAGCACAGCCTTCGGCACGGTACATCAAGATCGATACACTCAGCATTGCAGCATGCCACGGAACGCGACGAGTCCCCCTGGCACGTCGCGCGGCGCGTCCCTTGGCACGTCCCGTGGCACGTCCATTGGCACGTTCCGTAGCGCGTCCCCTCGGCACGTCCCGCGGTGCATCCCCGTGGCACGTCCCCTGGCACGTCATTTGGCGCGTCCTTGGGGACGTTTCGCGGCGCGTCCTCCTGGCATGTTCCCTTGTCAATTAGTTCTGGCGCAGCTACTAAGTGTTCAGGCAGGTCGAGCTTAAGATCTAGATCAGTTCGGTCAGGACTCGGATGCAAAGGAGGACTCGATCCACAATGCTACAAGGCACAATCTCGGCATGGCACATCGCAATTCAGCACGCCGCATCACAGCACAGCCTTCGGCATGTTACATCAAGATCGATACATTCAGTATTGCATTTACCCGTCGCCCAATCAGGTGTCTTTGAAGCGTTGTCATTCCTTACAGTTCTATATTCCTTTCTGGGTTCCTGGGTCGATCATGTTTCGATGCGCGGGCCGTTGATCCTCTCGACCCCTTCCCCAAGATAGGCTTTTCATTTCGATTCGTTTCTTGACAACTCCGAGGTCCGACATTGGCTTCCAGAGTTTCAACCTCGCAACGAACTGGCCGCTTTGATTTTTCAGAGGCATCCGATATCTGGGGGCGCCACGATTTTTATGTGACGTTGCCACCCAGATGTATCGACCTTTTCCTCAGGGCCAGTCTGCTGTTTTGTTGACAGTCCCGCGACGGATCAAACCAGGGAAGAGTTCAGAAACAATGAAGCGGAGAGCCGCCAGACTCTGAGGTCCAGGCGTCGCAAGTCGTTTCACACCGTGCTTTCTCGTCCAGGTTCGGGCCCTCGGGGCCCCCGCAAATCGATCCAGCTTGAGAAAAACACCAGAAATATTGGGGTTCGGCCCAGGGTTCTGGTCGTGACAATCCATGATGCTGCTTCTGCGGGGGAGGTTTGGGCCCCCCCCATGTCTCAGGAGCTTCCCGGACGTACAGTGAGCGGCTTGGGATAAAAAAGGGGCTTCGTTCCTTAGGTCAGGCCGATGACTGTACCCGGAGGCCCGGCCCTCAGACAGCTCTGGAGGCGCAACAGAACGCTCAGAGCGTGCCCGCAACACTACGCTGTCCTCGATCGTCGGACCGCCAGAGGTCTCGGCAGCTCGCCACGAGCGCGTGCCGAGCTCTATTCGGGGGCAGCGCTAGGGACTTGGCATCGCTCGGACGTGTGGATTTTTCCTTCGGCGAGGGCCATCGAGGAGCATCCCTGATCATTTGGCGAACAAAGCCACGCACGAAACCGAAAAAAACACAGGGAATGGACGTCCGAGCGATGGCCAGAGGGAGGGATGGGCTCAGGGGGGGGGATGCGTCGACCGCGCATCGCCCACGGATCGCCGATGGGGGCCCGATATAGCCCACCCCGCCCAGGAGCGCGCGGAGTCGCAATCGGGGGCCCATCGCCGATCTGTCGGCGACGGATCGCCGATCCCATGCCGAGGTCTCCCACCCAGGGCAGCGCTTCGTGGCCACATGGGGAGCTCCACCGAAGGCCCCAGTGGCGCAGTTCGCATGCGGTTCCCCCGCCCAGGGCAGCGTTTCGTGGCCCCATAGGGAGCTCCACCGAAGGCCCGCCCCAGTGGCGCAGTTCGCATGCGGTTCCCCCGCCCAGAGCAGCGTCTCGTGGCCCCATAGGGAGCCCCACCGAAAGCGGCACCCACAACGCGTTCCGAACAATTGCTTATGATTTGGTCCTTCGCCAGGATAATTGGAAATTCGATTGCGATATCTTTCCGGCACGGAAGGTTTTTGAAGGATTTCGGCATGCGCGCGCGACGACGCGCGCGTGTGCAGTTCGTCCCGTTTTTTGCCAGGGATTCGCGAACAAGTGCTATGTTAGAACAAAAAATGTCACCGCATAGTGTTTTTACAAGGAAACCTCAGGGGAGGAACCCGGCTGGCCTGGGATAGTGTAAATTCATATTTAGGATGGACATGTGGCCAGAGCCATATATGATGCACATACCCGAAAGGGGTGTCGATAACGCTGGGGGGGGGTAGATCCCTTTCTGTTTTTAGAAAGGAGAATCAACGTTGTGCTACTGATGTTGTGCAGTTTGTGTGGGGCAAGCTATGTTGAGCAACACATGTGGTGCATGTTTGGTTGCGAGCGAACATAAACGCGCCGCAGGGGCGACAATGACACACATGCGTTTAGGTCACGGTGTCCAGGTGCGACAATCTACGTGGTGCAATCGTTGGTGTGCCATCTACGCGGTGAAGTCTACGTACTGCAATGCACGTTGTGCAGTATATGTTGCAGCATTTGTCGTGCAAGCCATCGTGCGCAGTATTCACAATGCGTTCTATGTGGTGCAACTCATATGGTTCAAATACACATGGTTGTGCATTATAGAACGTGCAAGTAATATTGTACATTCGATGTGGTCCAGTTATGCTGCTCGGGAAAACAACGGCGCGCCTCAGACGCGAAACGAAATCGTGCAATGTATGTGGTGCAATCTACGTGGGGCAACCTATGTGGTGCAATCCAACGGCGGCGACGGGCGGTGACAAAGTGGCGACGGGTCGGCGACGGCGACAACATAGCCGCCAGACCGCCACTCTGGCCCAGACGACGGACGGCGACGATTCAGCGACGGGGCGGCGACGTCGACAACATAGCCGCGAGAGCGAGCCGGCATTCCCAGGGAACACCAGCACCTTCTCGGCTTGGCAGCCGCGGTATGCAAGGAGTGCGAGGTGGGTCGGGAGCTCTTCTCGCGAAGTCTTAAAGCTCCAACCTGTCGGGTTGGGATTCGGATACGCGTGCGAAAGGTGGGGCCAAAAACATCTACGGGACCTCCGAGGAAGCCCGGGCCCTCTTGGGCCGTCTTGGGGCTTGGGCTCGGGAGCGGCAAAGAGGGGGGTGATCACGGCGTGGGCCATGATACTTCCCTCAGATTTCGAGGCGCCTCTTCTCATTTCAATACGTCCCTGGCCCCCCCCGGGCCGCGCACATGCCGCCGGCCATGATTTGCACCCCCCCTTCTTGGACGCCCACCTCTTTGCCGCCCCCGATGGGCCGATCTTAGGGACCTCGTGGGCCGTCGTGGAGCGTCGGGAAGCCAGAAAAGCGAGAACCCCGCAATCCTTCAACACCTCAGGAAAATCAATGATTTGTGCCTCTCGGGGCCCTCTTGGGACCTTTCTCGGAAGCCTATTTGGGCTTCTTGGCGGCCTATTGGGCCACCCTGGGGCCGTCTTTGGCGTCTTTGTGCGGTCGTTGGGCGTCTCGGGCCCCAGTTGGACCGTCTTGCGGGCCTCTGGGACTCTTGGGGATCTGTTGGCCCATCCTGGGGGCCTCTCTTGTCCCGGAAACCCATGCGACATGATGTACCGGAGCCCAGGGGCACGCGACAAGACCAAAGAGATTTGGCAATTCGGGGTCTGGGCCTCTAAGAGACTCCTCAGGAGTAAGGATTGAGGCTTAGAGGATTACGCAAGGGACCTGAGGACACGCCCACTCTGTGCCCAGAGGCACGGTGGCGGATATATATATATATATATATATATATATATATATATATATACATATATATATATATACACACATATACACATACACACAAATATAAACATATATATATATATATATATACAGATATTCATACAGGTGTCTGTATACACATATGTTTGTTTCTCCCACGTTCGTGTTTTTTCTACACGTGGCCTTGTGACCACTCCACAGCCTTCCCAGGGACCAGATCTTGATCCTGGATCGTTTTCTGGTGGTCCGCAGGCTTGAGACGGGCCTCCTGGAAGTCCGAGGATGGCGAAAAACACCTCCAGAGGTCCCAAGAGGCCCCCAGAGGGTCAAAAGACCAGAGGACATCCAGCCTCAAACTCCGATCCTCAGCTCTCGATTCTCAAGTTTCGGTCCTGCATCACCTTCAGTCGCATCGCAGCCGATTCGGCTCGGCTTGACGGAGATCTCAAGCGTGTATCCAGCACCGTGCCCAGAAGATCCCCGAGAGGGCACTTCGGCAATCATGGGCGCCTACAAGTACCTCCAGGAGATGTGGCGCAAGAAGCAGGCCGGCCCCATTTTTGCCATGAGCGGGAGTGACAGCGGAAAGATAGGGAGGAAAAGGAGGAGGAAGATTCGGAGGAGGAGGAGAAGAATGTTTGAACCCACGACTCTTCAACGATGGTGCAGTAAACCCGCCCTCTGACGTCCCTCGTCGCAGGTCCCTACCAGGGTTCCATTTCACTGAGGGAAGTGCCCGTTGGAAGACAACGGTCTGGAAATTCTGAACCGTGCCAGGACACCATTCCTGGGACTTGAACGCCGCGAGTCAACGCTACTGTCGCGTCCTGGCGCAGAGCATCGTGCCATAACACCATCCCTGGGACAGCGAAACCGCGAATCAACGCAACCGTTGCGCACTGGCAGTCCTACATCGTGCCAAAACACCATTTCTGGGACGTCAGCCATAAGAATATTTGAAACTGTTGTGAACTCTTAGGACGCATGTGCGAGGCGCTGAGGCGAGAGTCACATGTTGAAAAGGTACCGCCCCCCATCTGTGAAACTATCTCTTTTAAAGCGAGTTTGCGCGGCCTCAGGCGAGAGCCACATGTCGAACACCGCACGCTCTCCATCCGCGAAGCTCTTGCAGTTGTTGTGGACGGACATGCGCGGCGCTAAGGAGAGAGCCATGTTTTGAAAGCAGCCAGGCCTCCATCCGTTAAACCATTGCAAATGTTCAGCTCAATGATCACGCATGGTGGGAAAGTCTCAGGCGAAACGCCCGGCAGGGCTGCCCTGCGGCGTCTTCTGGTTGGTCGGCAGCCCCAGTCCGACGTCTTGGGGGGCCTGCTTTTTCCGCTCGCTTGGTTCCTTGGTGCCAGGAATTTCGAGGGCGTTGATCTTGAAGTTTTTGTGTCGGACCACGTGTCCTGAGGAGGCTCGGGGGAGCCGCTTCAAACACTGGTTGTTTCGGGCGCCGAGGTGTTAGGCAAGGTCTTGACCTCGAGATGGGTCTTGACCTCGAGGCCAGGTAATTTGGTGAGCGTGGTGGGCCAAGCTATCCGCACCTCTTAGGAACCAGAGGACCCAGAGGGGAGGAAGGGTGTGAGGAGGAGGAGGAGGAAGAGGAGGAGGAGGAAGAGGAGGAGGAGGAGGAGGAGGAGGAGGAGGAGGAGTGGGAGGAGCAGGAGCAAACGGAGGGTAAGGAGGAGGAGGACGACGAGGAGGAAAAGGCCAGGGAGGGGAGGCAAAGGAGGGCGAGGGGGAGGGGGAGGGGGAGGGGGAGGAGGAGGAGGAGGAGGAGGAGGAGGAGGAGGAGGAGGAGGAGGAGGAGGAGGAGGAGGAGAAGGAGGGGAAGGGGGTTCAGGAGGAGCAGGAAGGACAAGAGGAGGAGGAGGAGGAAAAGGATGATGGTACAGGTTCTTGCTCGAGTTTAGGTGTGTTTGTGTTTCTCTCTGGAGGTCTCTGCAGGCCGCCTCCCGGGACTCCTGGGGGCCTCCTGTGAGGTTGCGTCCCCGAGCGTTTGCCACGAGTTCCTCCTCGATGCTGGCGATGCTCGGGGGTGGCCACCATGGAGTGTTGATTTTGTCAAGGCGCTGTACTGGAACAGCAGATGCTGGATCTCGCACCCGGGCGCCACCTTCGGCGGTCTCGAGCTCACCGCGGGGGTCCGGCAGGGCTGCCCGCTCTCTCCGACTGTGTTCGTCGTGTTTTCGGACGTGCCACTCCTGAAGCTCCCGAGACTCGAGATTGATATTTGATGCACTCCCTCGCGCCTACGCCGACGACCTGGCCGTTGCTCCCTTCCGCGGAGCGGAGGGCGCGCGGATTCTGGAACAGACTGTCGACGAATTTGACCTGCTTTCGGGTCTTCGGCTGCACCATGGGGAAAAAACTGTGTCCCTCTCTCCCTGAACACGCTCGACCATGTGCGGGTGCGCCTACAGGCAGCTGCGCCCACGTGGAGCGACCTCACAATTCGTAGGCATGCGACGTACCTGGGTTTCGTGGTTGGCCCAGAGCGCGCGGAACATTCGCGGGGCAAGCCGTTTAAGAAGCTTCGATTGCGCGCCAAGGTCTGCAAGGGCATCGGCTGCCTCATGCTATTGATTCTCTTGGCGCATCGGATCTACATTTTCCGCTTGCCGTCGACTTGGGCCACAGTTTCAGCAGGAGGCCTGCGAATTTGTGTAATTGCGGCGTCGCCTCTGGGCCTTGGCCACAGTCCAGGGGAACTCCGACCGGGTTGTGCGCATAGGTGTCTGGCGGATCTGGTACGGCCACAATTTCTTTGCTAATCTTCAGGGTGCCCATTGGCGTCAGCAGCGGAAAGTTGTCGAAGCCGGCCTGACAGTCGAGGCGTTGGTGCAAGGTGACGCGGCCGACCGGCGCCCTGAAGAAGCGATCCGCCACCTGAACCGTAGCCTCTCTCGCCTGTCCTTCCCCCTTTGCCCAGGCAGGCTGCCGCGTCGAGCGCGCGAAGCTTGCGCACAACGGCCCAGCGCGCCTGGTGCCCCCGCAGGTGTGGGCATCGGCGTACAATAATCCTATGGAATGGCTGGACTACAGGCCGCCGCACGCAGCAACCCGCGCCGTGTCCTTTCGGTCGCGGGCGGGGGGGGGGGGGAGACAGCATGCACCATGATATTCGTTGCCCCCGTTTCGCTGACTTCGGGCGCGCTCGTTTGGCTGGCTGTCGCGCCTCCCGCTGAGAGGAGCACGGCATTTCTACCTCTCGCACCCCGTTTCTCGGACGCTTTGGTAAGTATTCTCGCGCGCCGTGCGTTGGTCGCATATTAATCTTCATTCGGTCGCCAGCGCAGCGCGCCATGGGGCGGCCGCCAACGCGTGGGAGGTTTGGGGCAAGATGCGAGGAAGGCGTGCGCGGCGCACCCTGGCCTAGCAACCATCCTGGCGGCTGTGGGGCATACACCTTAGGCGATGCTTAAGAAAACCCAAGTTTTCGGCCAGAGTCTCGATTATTCTTAACGTTTCAATGTAGATCCTAAGATTTTAATAAAAATGTTGGGTTTTTATTCAAGTTCTGAGACTATGAATTTCTTAACCCATGATTTCTTAAGCATTTCGCAGGGTGTAGATATTTGTTTCCGTCCCGGCAAGTATTCACGTGTTTGGCTTCTGCCAGCAATCGGCCAAGAGCAAGATTTGCGCATGTCCAGTATTCCCTAGCATGGGTCCAGCCTCCCCTCTCCGTCGTCGTCGCGATGTTTGGTTTTTGCCTTGTGCTTCAGTTTGTGATGGTGCATCGGCTGTGGAAGCCTTCGGCTGCGATGGCGCATCGCTGTGGAAGCCTGTCGCTACGGTCGTGAAGGCGCCCTGACAGAGAAGGAGGCGGGCGATGACCAGCGAGGCATGCTTGCCTCCTGTTCCCCCTTTTCGGATTTTGTCTTATTATTTGTATTCGTATTGTTCGCAGTTCACGTGTTCTTTGTATTAGTATTGGCATTGTGATGTTTAGTGCTACTATTAGAATATATGTAGATTGTTCTCTCCTTTGGTTGTTCCTCTCTCCTCACGGTGCTTTGAATGTTTTGGCGAGCGCGACCGCATGGTCCAGTCAGTTTGTGCCAAAGCACACAGCGTGGGCAGCATGGGGCCGGATACGTTCATGCTCCGTTGTCTAGTCTGTCACATGTGTTTCAAGTCAATTTGGGTGCACAGCGCTTGAGGTAGTTGTTTATATAAAGATATACGTTTTTATATATATATATATGTATAGAGAGATATTCACGACTTTGCCGCCGTGCTTGGCATCGTGCTGTTCGGTTTGCTCCACCTCCTCCCTTTTTTCTGAAATACCGCTGATTGAAAAACCGGTTGCGGGGGTTCCTGAGATTTCGATGGGGAGGAGGGCAAAGGAGGAGGAGGAGGAGGAGGCGGAGGAGGAGGAGGAGGAGGAGTGGGAGCCCAAGAAGGGGGAGGCAGAGGTAGAGCAGAGCAGGTCGTCGCCCCCCCTCCCCTCCTCCCTCGAAGGGGGAGAAACGATACCAACACCACCAGGGGCCCACCGCCAGGAAGGAGGTCCACGATGCCTCCCCGAGCTGGAGGCCGGGGATGTCTCGAGCGAGGGGGGGTCCACACCACCAGGGAGAACCCCCTCGCCTCCTCGCATCTCCTCGCCCTGGTGGTGTTGGTGTCGCCTTTCCTTGCTCCTCCTCCCACAGTCGGAGTGGATCCGTGACCTGCCCAGCTTGCAAAAAAGGCGCCCTTCCAACGGGCCTCCTTGGACAACCGCCTGGGGCGGCGTGGCGCTCTGGCTTCGGCGAGGCAGACCGGCGGTCAGCGTCAAAGCGAGAGGAGGAGGAGGAGGAGGAGGAGGAGGAGGAGGAGGAGGAGGAGGAGCAGGAGGAGGAGGAGGAGGAGGAGGAGGAGGAGGAGGAGGAGGAGGAGGAGGAGGAGGAGGAGGAGGAGGAGGAGGAGGAGGAGGAGGAGGTGGAGGAGGTGGAGGAGGTAGGAGGAGGAGGAGGAGGAGGAGGAGGAGGAGGAGGAGGAGGAGGAGGAGGAGGAGGGGGAGGGGGAGGAGGAGCGGAGAGGAGGAGGAGGAGGAGGGGGAGGGGAGGCAGGAGGAGGAGGAGGAGGAGGAGGAGGGGAGGAGGGGGAGGAGGAGAGGGAGGAAGAGGAGGAGGCGAAGGAGGAGGAGGGGGAGGAGGAGGGGGAGGAAGAGGAGGAGGAGGAGGGGGAGGAGGAGGAGGAAAGCAGGGGAGACACAACATCCCTCTCGTCCTCCCTCCCTCCCCTTCTGCTCCTCCTTTTTTCTCCCTTCTTCTCCCTCCGCGCCACCCTTCAAAATCGATCGCCTGGAGCGCGTTCCGTCCAGGATTTCAACGCGAATCCAACCGTGGTGACGAGGGCATTCCGGGAGGTCCACAATTCTTCTTGACTCCGCATCTTCCTCTTCCCATTTTTCACCAATCCAAAAACAACGGCAAACAAGCTCTCGTCTGTCGACGTCGAAAGGCACAATGGGGGTCTAGGCACCATCAAGTCCAGAGAATGGCTCTAGTGTCGGGCACCCGCTCACCCATTGCGGATTCCGAAAGGCCCCTTTTCTGTGACCTCTCTCCTCCTCATCCTTCCTCCTCTTCCTCCTCCTCTTCCCCCTCCTCCTCCTCCTCCCTTCTCCCTCCCCTCCTCCACTCTTTCTCCTCCTCCTTCCTCCGCCCTCCGCCTCGGGCCCCTGTTACGTAGGCATCCTCCCGATTCGCTCTCCGAGCTTCGCCCAGCCCTCCCAGACCTCCGGGGCCGAGCCTCTGCCCGGGGCACGTGCCCCCGCGGCACGGGGCTCCCAGTCGGTCCTTTGGGTCCGGTTCCTTTTCCGGCGTGTTGTTTGCAGCGCTGCAGTCGCTTCGGCAGCTCGGCACGATCGAGGTGGGTGCGGAACCAATGTCGGGGGAGAAAAAGATACGGATACGTGTTGTCCCCCTTCGTTTTCGGCCTTTCCTGGTCCTCCTGGGGAATCCTCGTTGTCACCGCTGGATTCGCCTCGAAATTCTGGTCAGAACGCACCCCAAGAGAGGTCCGGGGACAACACGTATCCGTATCTTTCCGCCCCCCAACAATGGGTGCGAAGGCCGACAGCGGTTCCTGCCCATGTTGAACGATGCTCGCTGTCGGCGTCGCCGCGGACGCCGTCCAGTGGAGACACGAGGTCGCCTTCCCAACAGCGGTCGCTGTCGGTTCTGGGCAACTTCCGCTGCTGGGCATCGCTGCAACGCAATGCGGGTGTCAAAAGCAGCGCGCGGAAAGATGGAAGGCAAGCGCCCTTTTCGCGCCGGGTGGCGCAGGAAGGCGCCACTTTCCCTCATCGGCCAAAGCCGTCCATTCAGTACCCATCGATCCAGCTGCAATTTCTAGGATGCTAACCGGCGCCGGCGTATCCGCCGTCGACAATTCTAGTCCCTCTTGATCTTGGGCTTACCCGCACCTCCCAGGAGTTGTCTCCAATTCGTGGCCCCAGAGGTCCCGACCGCTTCCCCGGGAGTAGGTGTTCGTCCTGGACCCATGAGTAGTGGTCACGAGGCCCGATTGCCTTCCCCGAGTACCGACATTGAGGATCAACGCCCAGATTGCAAACACATATCGCTGGGGATGTGGGTCCTCACATCGGGGTGGCGCTGAGTTTCTTGACCTCCTTTGGGGCCGGAGCCAGGTGGCCGGAGAGAGGCCCGCAGCCTTCGACAAAGGCCGTGGTTGTGCTGCCTGGCGCCGCGGCCCCGGGAGGTCCAGGCCTCGGACACGTGGGGCCCGTCGCCAGGCCCCGGGCCTGCCAAGAAGCGGCCCAGGGTGAAGGGCCGGCCGTGCCCCCAGGGAAAGGTTCGAAATTCGGGTTAACCCAAAAAGGGGGTCCAGCGACAAGGGGCTGGTGCACCAGATTTGGTTCAGTAAATTTGTGGGGCTGCAATACATCACGCATTCCAGGGCGCAAATGTACTGCTGGATTTTCGCGTGCAATACATGACTTGCAATACAATACGATGCAATCCAATTCTCCGGCGCAGTGCATTTGCGATGCAATTGCCCCAAATCCATTGCACAACCGCCTTTCAGCTGGACCCCCTGTTGGGTCACCCAAAGGAATGTCGGCCAGCGGAGGGCGAGTTCAGACTGAGACAGCGGCAGTCGGCCTTCGTCAGAGGCCTGGAGGTGGACACTAGCACCAGTACGTCGGCGGTGTGCCTCCACCAAGGAAAGAAGCTCCCGATCTCGGTGATGGTGGAAACTAATGTCCTTCGGCCCATACCGCCACCGTGCCTGGGTTGTGGGTATGAAGCCTATATAGGATATTCGTTGGATTCTCGTGGGAGACCTCTCGGGGGCCTTTAGGAGGCAGTTTGGAGGCCTCTTTGGGGCTCTTTTCGGCCTCGTGGGTGCGTCCTGGGGCCTCTGAGGCGCCTCTTGGGGGCTTCTTGGGGCCTCTTCGGGCCCTCGTGGGGCCTCCTGGGGCCCTCTCAGGGCGGAAAGCTCGAAGTTTCGGTTCTTGGTTCCCCTCTCGTGCCTCTCTTGGGGCCACTTGAGGCCTTCTTGGACCGTCTTGGGCGCCTCTTGGGCCGTCTTTGGGCCCTCTTGGGCCGTCTTAGAGCCTTCTTGGGATCCTCTTGGCGCGGTCTTGGGGGCCTCTTCGGCCGTCTCGGGGCGTCGAGAAGCCGAAAAGGCGAGAAGGCCAAAATCCTTCAAACACCTGTCGCTAATCAATGATGTTTGCCTCGCGGTGCCCTCTTGAGCGTCCTCGGAGGCCTCTTGGAGCGCCTTGGCGGGCTCTTGGGCAGTCTTGGGGCCACCTTGGACGTCTTGAAACAATCATTGGGCGTCTCGGGGCCATCTTGGACGTCTTGAGGGCCTTTGGGGGCCCTCTTGGCCCGTCCAGGGCCCTCTGGGGCCCGAAAAAGTCATGCGACAAGATTGCCAGGGGGCACGCGACAAACCCCGGTAGGTTTTGGAAATTCGTGTCCGGGCCTCTTAAGGACTCCTCAGTCCGCATGGCGGCCCCGCACCCATGTCGGCATATCCCTGACACTTTTCGTGGCCCCATAGGGAGCTCCACCGAAGGCCCCAGCGGCTGGGTCTGCATGGCGGCCCCGCCCCGTTTCGGTTCACCTCTCACATTTTTCGTGGCCCCATGAGGAACTCCACGAACGGCCTGAGCAGCAGGGTCCGCATGGCGGCCCCGCAGCCGATTCGGCACATCACGCACACGTTCAGTGGCCCCCTAGGGAACTTCACCGAAGGCCTCAACGGCAGGGCCCGCATGGCGGCCCCGCACCCATTTCGGCACACCCCTCACACGTTCCGTGGCCCCAAGGGAGTCTTACAAAAGGCCCCAGCGGCAGGGTCCGCATGGCGGCCCCGAACCCGATTCGGTACACCCCTCACACGTTTTGTGGCCCCATGGGGAGCTCGACCGAAGTCCCCAGCGGCAGGGTCCACAAGCTGGCCCTGCACCCAGTTCGGCACACTCTGTACACCCCATACGTAGCTCCACCGAAGGCCCCAGCGGCAGGGCCCGCATGACGGCCACGCCTCATTTCGGCACATCCCTCTCACGTTTCGTGGCCCCATCAGGAATTCCACAGAAGGCCTCAGCGGCAGGGTCCGCATGGCGGCCCCGCAGCCAATTCGGCACACCCCTCACACGTTCTGGGGCCCCATAGGAAAAACTCCACCGAACGCCCCAGCTGCAGGGTCCGCGTGGCGGTCACGCACCCATCTCGGCACAACATCACACGTTTGGTGGCCCCATGGGGAGCTCCACCGAAGTCCCCAGAGGCAGGGTCCGCATCGTGGCCCCGCACCCATTTTTACACCCCCCTTAAATGCTTCGTGACCCCATAGGTAGCTCCACCGGAGGCCCCAGCGACAGGGTCTGCATGGCGGCCCCGCATCCGACTCGGCACACCCCGCACATGTTTCGTTTCCCCGTATGGACCTGCCCCTCCTTCGGCCCACCTGCCTTGTAGCACTCGCACCCGTCTATGGTTGGGTCCTGCCCGGGTAATGTTCGAAGTATCGATTGTTTGGGTCCGACGCTAGGCCAAGATGCAGCATCGTACAACAATCACGCTTTGGGCCCTAGACTTTTCTTCCTGCAGCACTTCTCAAGCCGGATCGATGCCGTGCGAAAACGCGTGGTGTGACAAAAAGCGGCCGCACGCGAGAGTGACGAGGTGATCATTGGCGCGCGGCGTTCGGGGCTCGCCAGGGGATGAGCAAGTCTGGGCGTGCAAGCCGCTGCTGTCGCGTCGCGCGCAGTGTTCGGCGAGTCGCGCACCAGAGATCCAAGGGCTCCCACGAGGGCGCGAAGTTATTCGCGCTTCGCGGTCCTCGTTCCTTCTCCCCCTCCTCCTCGTCCTCCTATTCTCCCTTTGGGAGGGCGGCGCGAGAGCGCGAAGTTATTCGCGCTTCGCGCTTCGCGCAGCGCGAAGCGCGAAGTTGGGAGCCCTAGCTCCCCTCAAGGGTCACTGTTTGCGTGTAGCCGTCAAGCAGCAGCGCTGGGATCGCAGGGGAGGGTCACCACTGTTGAAGACGAAGACTATGATGCATAAACATGCGTGCTCTTGAGGTCCGCGTGGATTTCTTGGATCGGCCGGCGCCGCGAGGGTGGTGCTGCGCAGGTCCAAGAAATCTGCGCTGAGTTCCGAACGTTTCTGATCATGCAGCTGTTCCTTCGTCAGCAAATGGATCCCCCCTCGAGGAAGGACAAAGAGGATTGGTCATTCGGTCCGACTCTGTGGAGGCGCCGGCCGCCGGGGGGTCGAGCTCCAGCTCAGGAAGCCCGCGCGCACCCCCGAAGCAACACATTGTGCTTCTAATGTCAGTATCGTTTATCCGATCCCCATCCCCATCCCCATCCCCTTCGAGACCCCCACCAAATTACCACTGGGGATACACCCCTCGAAACCCGAAGGGAACGGCCTATAGCACCATCTAGGGGGGTAAATCGGCCAGTGGGGCCCAGGCCACGGGGGATCGGTTAAACGATGCACATAATGTGTTTTGGTATTCTAGGCCAGGCCCAGACCTCTGCTGACGATCCTGTATGTTCGAATCTCGGGCTTCTGCACGGATGTGCGTCTTGTTCCCGTCCCGTTGTTCGGTCATCATGGGGCCCAGGAGTTGGCTCCTGAAGCCGAGCACGCGGGGAGAAGTCCGATCTTCTCTTCTCTGAAGAGAAATAGACGGCATAACCATGACTTCTTGGATCTGCGCTGGGCCTCCTTGGCGGCGCCACCTGCGCCGCTCCTGGCGCGCTCCAGGGGCCCAGTGCCGATCCAAGAGCGCGCGGACATCCGAGAAGTGATGTTCGTGCCGTTTTCTGTTCCTCTCATTTGCGAGTCTCTGGAGGTCTGGGGGGGGTTCTAGGCTCTCCGTCCCGACAGTCCGACGTGATGCGCTTCCTCTCCCGCATCCGGGCCTGGGAGTACCGCCAGCTGCCCGCTCTCCACAGGTGCTCGCGGCCGACGAGTTCGATAGCGGTGACGACGTCGACGACGACGTCGACGACGACGTCGACAACGACGACGACGGGCACTGCGACGGCGACGGCGACGGCGATGGCGACGACGACGGCGCCGACGACAACGACGAAGATGACGGCGACGGCGGCGCCGACGACGACTGACGTCGTTCGAATGAGGGGTCCCTGGAAATCTCCTGAGGTCTCCGGAGGCCCTTGGAGGGCTTGGCGGGCCTTTTGTAAGGGCCGAGGCGCCAACAAAATGTTTATAGATCCCCGAACCTCAAACGACGACAGCGGTTGCGGTGGCGACTGCGCTGGTGTCGACGGCGACGGGAACGACGAAAGTTACGACGACGACGGCGACAACGACAACGGCGACGGCGACGACAACGAAACGACAGCGGCGACTACGACGATGACGACAAAGTCAACGGCGTCAACAACGACGTCGACGTCGACGTCGACGACGTTGACTTCGACGACGTTGACGCCGACGATGACGACGACGATGTCATCGACGACTACGGCCGCAGGTGCTCGCGGCCGACGCGCCCTGACAAGGCCGGCCTGGCCGCAGTCTCGGCACACCTCGCTGCCGCCACCGCTGCCGTCGCCGTCGCGTCGCCGCCGTGATCAGGGACGCCCGTCGGCGACGGCGACGAAACGACGACGACGACGAAATGTCGACTGCGATAAGACGGCGGTGCCGTTCTTGTCCTCCTCGTTGTCGTTTCGCCCTCGTCATCGCCTTCTCGCCGTCGTGCTTGCCGTTTTGTCGTCGTCTCGTCGCCGTCACCGTGGCGTCGCCCACGAGTTCACGCGATGCGATTCGATTCGGTGGCGGGGCCGCGAGTCCGCGTGGGCTCGATTCGGCTCGGTTCACCGGCATCGGTCAGGGCCAGCCAGAGCCGGGCGCGGCGATTCGATTTTGATTCGATTGGAGACGATTCTTGCGGCCGATCCGATCCGTTACCCGATCGAAGCCGATCTCGCGATTCGAACATGGTTTTTGCTTTGCGGCCGCCGTCAACATTTTCGTCGTCGTCGTCGTCCTCACATTGCGGACCTCCGAAGTCTCGAGTCTTGACAAAACATGTCTTGCTCATTTTTGCAATTTGGACGCCTGTGTGCCGTTTTTGGCCTCCAGAAATTCGGGATGGGAAATTGACTCCGGGAACTTCTGGGGGCCCCGTATCGAAAAGTCACGGCATCGAATTTCTGGTGTCGTCGCCGTCGTTGTCGGAGTTATGTTTGGATCTTCGACGGAGTCGGAGTCGGAGTCGTCGTCGCGCGAAGGGGGGAGGAGAAGGAGGGGGGTAGAGGAGGGGGGGAGCTGGGGAAGGGGGAGGAGCAGTTAGAGGAGCGAGAGGTGAGTGTGAGGGAGTAGGAGGGGCGGAGGAGGAGGAGGAGCAGGAGGAGGAGGAGGAGGAGGAGCAGGAGGAGGAGGGAGTGGACGAGCAGGAGGAGGTGGAGGGATTGGAGGAGTGAGAGGGGGGAAGGAGGGGGTGAGGGACGGGAGGAAGAGCAGCAGGGACGGGAAGGGGGGACGAGGAGAAGGTTTTGATGCTATCTCCCCTTTGTGGCCTCCATTCGGGGCGCCCTCGTCGCCACGGCTGTAATTATTAGCCTCGAAGTCCGTGTCAGAGCGTGCTTTGAGAGAGGTTCCGGAGGGCGATGTCAGCCATGGTTCGGAGGTGAGAGGACGGCGAGGAGGCGCGGAGGTAAGACGGCGGAGTAGTGAGGGGGTGTGGCATCGGGGGAGCCGGCGGGTGGAGGAGGAGATGGTGGAGGAGAGGGAGGATGAACAGAGGAGGAGGGGGGCGTGGAGGGGGACAGGGACCAGGACGGTGGCCTGCCTCTGAAGAGGCAGGTCCAAGGGAACAGAAGAGCGTGCCAGAGGAGGAGGCGGCCGCGCTTTGCACGAGTCGCTCACCCCAGACAGGCCCCGCGTTCGGGGAGATACGCAGGCCGCAAAGGGGGTCGATCAGGCACGCAGCATCACGGACGGAGCCGAGCGTTTCGCAGTGCAGAAAAGGGCTTGGCCCGATAGGAGGGGCATAACCACGCAGGCAAAAGCCTCTCGTTGCACTGTTCCGCCACCAAACTGTACATGCCGCGGCTCTCCGGCAGGAGCCAAGCATCCGGAGATGAGATCGAGGACACCCTTTGGGTTCGTCGGGACGTAGAGGGGGGGCAGGGAGGCCGAGGTGCACGGATGGGGAGGATGGGCGAGGGCACGCGGGAGGGGAGGATGAGGGTGGAGGAGGAGAACGGGGAGGGAGACGGGATAGCACAGTCTATTTCGGCCCCGTCGATATGGCTCGACATGCGTTCGTTCCGGCCGGTTCGATCCCATTCGTCCAACAATCCGATGTGGCCCGATGTTTGCATTGCGTTGGTCGCCTCGCAATCAGTGTCAAACCGCAATTTCGAAGTCCGAGTTTTCCGGCGGCGAGCCTGGGGGGAAATGAGAAGGGGCGGGCCTCCTCAGCAGGCTCGGGAGTCTCCCCGCCTTCTGAGAAGTGTTCTAAGCCTTCCCCGAAGACACAGACAACCTCCCAGAAGGCGCGAGGGCTTTTGAGAAGCCCTGCCGCCTTCTGAGAGGGCCTTGTACTTGTCACTTTCCCCCCTCGCTCGCCGCCAAGAAACGGGTCGTGCCACCGTCGTTTTCGTTCAGGGATGTATGGGTTCCATCGTGTCTCCTCAATGTTCTGGAGTGCCCCCCTACCAGAAATTGACGATCCCATCGGTGGCTTCGGGCTTCAGGGGCAACGATGGGGGGCGATGGGCATATGGGAGGATGCGTCGACCCCCAACCGCCCATTGATCGCCGATAGGGGTCTGATAGCCCCAGCCTGCCCAGGAACGTGCGGATTCGCTATCGGAGGCCTATCGCCGATCTATAGGCGATGTATCGCCGATTCCAGGCATATGCTTCCGACCACATGTCGGTCCCCCTTATCGTTGCCCTTCAGTTGGCTGGGGGTGGTTTGGTGGGTGGTCTCCTGACGGGGTGGCGGACAGGGGGTGGGACCTCCGCGGCAGGCGCGCAAGGTCGGGTACAAGGCCAAGCAGGGCATCCTGTGCTACCGTGTCCGCGTGAAGAGGGGAGACCGAAAGAAGCGCGTGGCCAAGGCAGGAGGAGGAGGAGAGGAGGGCTCAGACATGAGCGTGTTCTAAACCCTCTGGGCCATCACGCGCGTTATGGCCCCCCTCCACCCCCCCCCATTTCGCAACGCTCACCCCCTTCTCCCCCCCCCTCCCCAATCATGCCCGCTGTGGCCGCGAATGCAAAGATGCGTTCCATGCAACGTCCTGAGCAAAACCAGGACGGAGGCTAGTCTCCGTGCTCGGCCTTTTGAGGGCCCTGTCTCGGAAGCCGGGCGAGGGCTGCTAAAGCCGTGGCTGCTAAAATCGACCTCCGGGAAGCTGTCTTCGTCCTTCAAGGAAGAAGCCCGTCGACTGTTCCGCGTGCCGCGCCTCATTCCAGGAAGTTGTTTTCCGTCGGGAGGGCCGTTTTAGCAGCCACGGCTTTAGCAGCCCTCGCCCAGCTTCCCACTGTCAAACAAAAACACAGCACGGGATGAAAAGACGGCCCAGGGGAGAGGGCTGGGAATTTTTGGGACCGCGTATGGAACACATCTGGACATGGCATGTCTGGGGAGGAAGGCGATGGGGAACTGGAGGACGACCAGGACCGAGGATCCAGGTTCCCGGGCTCCTGGCCAGGTCTCTGTGTGCCTCCAGGGGTGCGGAGACCCCGGGAGCCTTCCAGAGACTTTCTGGAGACCCCCCTACACCTTAGGCGATGCTTAAGAAAACTTAAATTTTCGGCCAGGGTCTCGATTATTCTTAACTTTTCAATGTAAATCCCAAGATTTTGATAGAAGTTCTGGGTTTTTATTCCAGTTCTGAGACTCTGAATTTCTTAACCCATGATTTCTAAAGCATTTCGCAGGGTGTATACACCTGCAGACCTCCTGGATGGGGATTTTTAGGATGGGCTCTGCAGTCCGACGCGGCGCAGGGGCGGCGACCTCACCACGGCTCAAGGGTCGGTTGCCCAAGGGGGATCCCTCAGTGCGCAGCCCGGGAGGGGAGAAGAGCACGTGCCAATGACACGCCGCCGTCGGGATCCCGTCAGTGTGTTTTTCTTTCGCTCGTCTCCGAAAGCTTGGTGCATGTCCAACACTACCCTTCGGTCGTTGAAAGTAGGTATTTCGGGGTTCCTAGATTCCAATATACTTGAAGCGCCTTCTTACTTCAATGATCGAGTGGCTTCGCCTTTTTCGTTCTCCTTAGGGGGCGGACGGAACCCGATCTACTTTCAACGTCTTCCTACTGCATGTTTCTACCTACTTCTTCTGACCGATGGGTAATGCGCTGATGGGTTCCCCACGGGGGTGTGCCATCGATGTTGTGGTTACTCCGCCGGGCAGCGGAGGCGTTGTGTGTCTCTCGTGCTACCTTACATTATCTCTCTCTCTCTCTCTCTCTCGTCTATCGTCTCCCTCTATCTTCCTCTCTTTCTCTCTCTCTCTATTTCCTTTCTTTTCCTCTCTCTCTCTCTCTCTGTCTCTCGCGCATTCCCATTCTGCATGTGTATATGTGTATGCGTGTCAGAAGTTGACCCACAATAGTGTGTTTCTAGCCGTATGGGTTGTGCACTCTATGTGGTGATACATATATATATAATATATATATATGGTGCAATTCACCAATGCTCAACTTGAAGTTGTCCACCCCATTGCTCGCGCAAACATCCCACCCACCCACACGCTACTTGGTTTGCAAACCCCATGCGGAAGCGATTGCGATGAGTGCTTGGTGTTGGCTGGTGCGTCCCTCGGCCGCGCTAGCCCGCGCATGCTCGTGCGCGCAGCGGCCAGCTAGTTTGGCGCGACCGACGCGAACGCGGTGGCGCTGACCGCTCGGCACGTCCAAGCGGGCACTTAGTGCGAGTTGGCGACTTGGGCGGGCGCGATATCATGGCAACGTCGACAACGGTGGACACGGTGATGATAGTAACGATGCTGGTGACGATGTGATGCTGATAGCGGCGACGGGGCAGCCAGTGATGGCGCCGATGCTGACCACTCCGACGACGATGACGGCGTCTCCGCGTCGGTGATCAAGGTTTTGGAAAGAGTTCGAAATGCACGCGCGGCAGATGCGCGTGAGTGGCCCGCATGGTATTATTTGACACGGATCGTGCCACCCCAGCGCGCGCGCAAGGGCGTTCGAACGATTTCGACATGCGCGCGCGAAGGCCGTTTGGTAGCATGTTAGCGCGCGCGCTTTCGTTGAGAACCGGCATGCGCGCGCGACGACGGTCGCGTGCGCAGTTCGTTTCGTTTTGTTCCGCAGATTCTTGAACACTTGAACACTTCTGATTTGTGACGAACGAGTGCGCGCGCACCCTTTTATTTTGCAAGTGGGCCGAGGGGGGACCGATACCGGTTTGGCTGGGATAGTACGGATTTGCAGGTCGGATGGACATTGGGTCAGATTGATATGTGTTTTGCATCGGCTTCCGGGGGATCGATCATTCCGGGGGGTCGGGAGGGTGGTAGACCTCATTTGTTGTCTAGACAAGAGATCAAATTAGGTGCGTTTGATTTGTACCCATGGTTTGACACATCCCACGCCCTTGCAAACATCCCACCCACCCACCCGCAACTTGGTTTGCAAAACCTCTTAAGACCGACTCCGATGACAACGACTACGACGGCACCGACGACGTCTCCGACGACTTCGACGACGACGACGCCGACGTCGACGACGACGACGACGAAGACGACGACGACGTCGCCAACGAAGACGACGACGAGGGAGGAGGGAGGACGACGACGGCGACAACGACGACAACGACGACAACGACGAGGGCGGAGGGAGGACGGCGACGACGCGAACGACAAAGAAGAAGGAAGGACGGCGACGCCGACGACGACAATGACGAGCGAGGGAGGAGGAGGAAGGACGACTACGGCGACAACGACGACGGAAACGACCACGACGCCAAAGAGGAGGACGACGACGAACACGAAGAAAGACAGGACGACGTAATTAGGCGATCACGACGACGACGACGCGGGAGGACGGAGGACGGCGACGACGACGACGACGCAAGAGCGCGCGTGCACGCTTTTGTTGAACATCCGTGTTGCAAAACCGTGTGTTGTTGCAGGTTTTTGGGACACACGATTTTGAACTCCTTCCGAGACCGATGGGTTTTGAAGGATTTCGGCATACGCGCGCGACGACGCGTGCGTCTGTACTTCGTTCCATTTGTTGCAAAATTTCCTCGCGACGGCACACGCGCAAGGGCGTTCGACAGATTTCGACATGCGCGCGCGAAACCCGTTTGGTAGCATGTTGTGAAAATCTTGACAAACCTATGGTTTTCTTAAGATGTCGCAAGAGCTCGCGCGTAAGCTTTTTTAGCACATCAATGTTGCGAAACCTTGTGTTTTTGGATGTGGTTGGGAAACTCGATTGCGAAATTCTTCCGACGCCGAAGGTTTTTGAAGGATTTCGGCATGCGCGCGCGACGACGCGCGCGTGTGCACTTCGCCCCGTTGTTTGCCAGGGATTCGCGAAACAAGTCTTATTTTAGAGCAAAAGCTGTCCCCGCGTGCCGTTTTTTACAAGGGAGCCACAGGGCGGCCGATACCGTTTCCCCGGGGATGGTGTACATTCATGATTAGGGTGGACATGTGGTCATAATCATATATGATTTACATGCCCGAAAGGGGGGTGGCGAACGCCGGGGGGGTAGAATCTTTTTTTGTTTATATCTATATATATATATATATATATAAAAAAAAAAAAAAAAAAAAAAAAAAAAAAAAAAAAAAAAAAAAAAAAAAAAAAATGTGTGGTGCAACACATGTTGCGCTATCTGTTAACGTGCAATATTCGGGGGAACGTAAGATTCGAGTCAGCCGGGAGTCAGGTTGACCGACTTTTTTTGACGAGCGCGTCTTGGATGTTCACGGTCCTGTTTTCGTGGGATGTCTGCGGCGGGAGTTCGCGTCAAATTTCAGACTGGGCCTCGTCGTTTTCATGATGGCCCCGTCAGGCCAACCCGAGTCCCCCGTACCCGAGTCTTACGTCTCTTTGGAAGATACGGTGTACCGTTTGTTGCGTATAATCTTTGTTGTGCAATACGTATGGTGCAAGCTGTTGTGCGCAATTAACTACATCAATAATTCATATGCGCACACATATAAATACACATATTGATGGCAGGCGGTTGTCCGTGCCCCCCCCCATGTGGAATACCATATGAAGTTACATCGAGATGTAAACCCTACGAGTCTACATCAATGTCACACTGTGCGACTGGGCGGTTGCGACTGAGCGGCTTGGGGCGTTTCTCATCTTGATGTCGAAGAGCGCTTGATCAACCCAACTCGTCCTTCACAGTGCTCTCGCAAACAGAACTCGAACAATTAATCGATCTACGCAATGAAAAGCAAGAAAAGCTTTGTTATGGCTATCGGTTACATAACATGTAATAAACATTGCATAACATGTTGCTATAATTCTTTAAGTAATTTTAATTCTCCGGTTTTCCAAACCATCAGCCGTGCCCGACTCGCACCACCCCCTCGCCCTTCACATGGTTTGGAGCACCTATGGAGTTATAGCATTTAATCAAATTAACAACATTTTCCTTTTTTATATTCCTTCTTATGTGATGTATAGAAATAGCGATGCTGTCCTGCTTCTCCTCCCTTTTCCTCCTCCTTCTCCTCCTCCCTCCTCTTTCCTCCTCCTGCATCGGAAGGGGGCTGAGGAGGAGGAGGAGCGACATGAGACAAGGAGGGGTGACCAAGTCTCGCATTCAGATCGTTACTTTTGCTTGCGTTTACAAGCAGGAAGCGCTCGCAGTTGTTCAAACCTTTGTTTCTGAGAGCCGGGCTTCAGCAAGGCAAGAGGACGGAGGAGGGGCACGGGCTAGCCTTCATACGCCGTTTTTGGTATGTGCTTCGACGCAGGAACAGCTCGCAGTGTTTCAAAAATGGGTCTCCGAGGGCCTGGGTAAGCAACGCAAAATGAGGGAGGAGTGACGGAAGCTTGCCTTGCGCCTTGGTCGCGTTGTTGGTCGGCAGTTGCGTTGATTTCGCGCT